GCTGCCATCTTGTGCATTTGGGCATTTACAGAAAGCCATGAGCCTCCTTGTGCACGGATTGCGGCAACCGTGCAGGCCGTACTCAGGGGGCTGGTGACATTCTGCTCCAGGTTTGTCAGAAGAGGCGCGGTTGCTGCCATCTTCTGCACTTGCGCAATTGCAAAGAGCCATGAGCCTTTTTGTGTCATTTTGTGCACAGCGGCAACCGTGCAGGCGGTACTCACGGGCTGGTCACATGCTGCTCCAGGTTCTTCAGAAGAGGCGCGGTTGCTGCCATCTTGTGCACTTGGGCATTTGCAAAGAGCCATAAGGCTTTTTGTGCACAGATTGCGGCAACCGTGCAGGCCGTGCTCACATGCTGCTCCAGGTCTGCCATCTTGTGCACTTGGGCATTTGCAGAAAGCCATGAGCCTTTTTGTGCTCAGATTGCGGCAACCGTGCAGGCCATACTCACGGGCTGGTGACATGCTGCTACAGGTTCTTCGGAAGAGGCGCGGTTGCTGCCATCTTGTGCATTTGGGCATTTGCAGAAAGCCGTGAGCCTCCTTGTGCACGGATTGCGGCAACCTTGCAGGCCGTACTCACTGCTCCAGTCCCAGAAGAGGCGCGGTTGCTGCCATCTTGTGCATTTGGGCATTTGGAGAAAGCCATGAGCTTCCTTGTGCACGGATTGCGGCAACCGTGCAGGCCGTGCTCACGGGCTGGTGACATGCTGCTTCAGGTTCTTCGGAAGAGGCGCGGTTGCTGCCATCTTGTGCACTTGGGCATTGGTGGAACGTCATGAGCCTCCTTGTGCACGGATTGCGGCAACCGTGCAGGCCTCACTCAGGGCTGCTTAACATGCTGCTCGAGATTGATGAGCAGCTTTTGTTTTGGTGTGGAGGTCCAGGTGTTGTGCCTTCTGCGTGTGTAGTTTGTGTTTATTTTACATTGCATCAGCAATGTATAATGCATGTAGTTGATCTATGTTGTTGCACTTTCCCGGCAACACCCTGCGCCTGCATTTGGTTCGCACAATAGTCCTTCTGCTTTTTGCAGACTGGAGCAGACTCTGCTTCGCGGCCTCCTGCAGAAGAAGCCTGTACACTGTTGCATTGAACAGCAATGGCCTCCCACCAGTAGCGATGGCCTCCAACCTGGAAGCGATGGCCTCCAACGTAATAGCGATATACTTAATTCTCTGTACACTGCTGCATTGACTCCTCCCTGGCGCTTTCTCTTGAGCATCATCGGCATTTTGGGCGCTACAAAGCTCTTGCTCTTGTCGGTGAACAGAAAGGTCTGCATGCATGACGGTAGACATGCAGAAAAAGAAAAGGTCACAAGGTCACTCTGTGGCGATGCCAGGAGCTACTAGTAGCTTCTTGTTACTAGTAGTAATGGCCTCCAACCTAATAGCGATGGCCTCCACCCTAGTAGCTTCTTGCTACTAGTAGTAGTGCCAGGAGCTACTAGGGTCACAAGGTCACTCTGTGGAGATGTCACTCTAAAGTCTTGCAGTCATCAAAGTCTGCTTGAACCGCATACCGCAGCCATTCGATCCACGAATCGCATGGGACACATCATTTGAGGGTTCCATGGCGTGGCATCGTGATGCTGACGAGAGTGCCTGAGCTTGTCGTCAATCCAAGACAGTGTTCTTGCCATTGAATTGACGGTAGTCTTGAGGGTAGGTTCATGCAGAATTGAGTGGGGATGAGGATGACCAAACTGGCTGGAATGTGATTATTAATTACTGTTTCTATTGTTTTTGGTGCCTGTGTTCTTTTGAACAGAGTATGTCCTCGATGGGTGACGTGACCCAATTCTTTGTTGTTCGTAGTTCGTTTTCTCACACCCTTTCAGGTCTGCCAGGCCTTGCCAGCAAACACCGCGGCTTTCTTCCATTTGAGTTGGAGCGTGAACTCCAGAAGTTTTTGTGCCTTGGGCCTTGGACTTTGGGCGGCCTATCATCACAGCAAAGTAACATTTCGATGAGCGCTGACCAAAATGTAGCAAAATACTGGTCCATTGAACTGATTTGAGTTGTTGCCCAAGTTGCAGCATTGCAGCATGTTTGTTTGTTCTTGTCCCTCCAAACAAGCCCTCTTCATGAGAGCAGAAGAGTAGACGGCCTTTCGCCAGTCCAAAGATCTTGGTGGTAATTTTGGGCCCAACATGTTCGATAGCAGGGCACCAACACCCGCCTATCGCATGCTTCTGCGGACACACAACACGGAAGATTCTGATGTCTCCTCACTAGAGGCCTGGCGGTTCTGAGCTGGGGAAACTTCGG